TAAGAGTTCTAGGACTAACAACAAATGAAGTCTTTAAGGTGGTACAAGGGTGGACTTTTGGTGTGCTGCGAATACAATAGTGCTTTGGCCTGGAGATGATGCAGTCAACTTGCCAATGAAGATCAAATGTAGCTGACCTGCTTAAGAAACACTCATCATTTTTGTTGCTTATTTTGTCTCTAAAACTTGTAATATATTCACAACAGGGTCACAAACGTTGCTTGCCTTATTGGGGGCCTGGTGACGGCATCCTGGAGCTTTTGGCTTGGTTGATATAGTAGTCAACTGATGATAGGGTGCCCAGGTTATCTAGCCTTATGGTTGATTTTCTTTTCTTTTCTTTTAGTAGTTGCAAACTCAGTGGTGAAATCGGAGGGAACCCTCTTTGAAAAAAACCTTGGATGAAGACGAAGGCATCACTGATACAACTCAAAGTTGTAGATCGCCTAGCGGGCTGCTTTTTTTACCTATGGATTCATGACTACTAGAAGATGCCATATGCATTGTTGTGTGAGTCTTATCAAAAATGCATAAAAAGTGCTAAATAAACTTAAACTAATAACAGGCATGAGTTAATGATGTGCCATGTTTTGCATGAACAAATTATTGTAAAAAGGCAAATTATGACTACATGCATGACTTGGTGATGTGTCATTGTTGTATGGAGAGGAATTGGGTAGTGGGTTATAACCGCTTAGGAATAGAGGATTCCTCATGTATTTATTTATGTAGCCGACAATTATTTATAAGATGAATGGAACCAACTTCTTTCAAGTCTTTGGTCAAAGCTTTACACTTTTCAATTGTTTTCTTCTAAAAATAATAGAAGTGTAAAATTTATGACTTGTTTATTTATCTTTCCAAGTTTCTTTCTCAAATGATTGAGTTATGATGACCTGGTCCGGCCAAAACCCTGCCCCAAACCCGAGCCACATGAAATCCCCCCTTTACCCCTGTCCCAGCGGATGCGGCAACGCTGCTCCCCCCTCCCCCTCCCCACCTCCCACGCGCTTCTGTTACCTCAACCCCACCCAAAATCCTCCTCGGCCAAAGCCACCAAAGCAAGATTTCATCCATGCGAGGGCAAGATGGGGTCAAGCAACTGAAAGCCATAGCCTAACTAAAAGTTGTACTTATTTTCACAAGCATGGCGTGAAAAAATACCCGAGCAGGTGAAAATTCTTCAAGATATTGTCCCTGGATGTAATAAGGTGCATTTTAATCTCAACAAGCACCCAATATTTCTTACGTTTCCATTATGTCCCACTAATGTACCATATGTATTTATCTTTGTATCATCATCAAGCTCTAGGCTAACAAATAGCGAATGGAAGTGCATTGAGGATCGTTTTGAGAAGAAATTGGGATGTTGGAAAGGCAAACTGATGTCATATGGAGGCCGGTTAGTTCTTATTAATTCGGTGCTCACTAGTATGCCCATGTTCCTTCTGTCTTTTTTCGAAGTACCAGTGGGTGTTCGGAAAAGACTCGATTTCTATCGATCTCGTTTCTTCTGGCAAAGCGATGAATTGAAGAGAAAGTATAGATTAGCTAGATGGGACATTATTTATCGACCTAAGGACCAAGGGGGTCTCGGGATCAAAAATCTGGAGGTTAAGAACAAATGCCTCCTCAATAAATGGCTATATAAGCTTTCGCGAGAGACCGAAGCCACTTGGGCCCAGATTCTGCGTAATAAGTACCTTCATTCCAAGACCTTATCCCAGGTGACGGTGAGGCCGACGGATTCGCCTTTCTGGAAAGGCCTGATGCGAGTTAAGTCGCTATTCTTTAACCGGGCCAAGGTGGTTATCGGTAATGGTACGTCTACAAGGTTCTGGGAGGATACCTGGCTAGGGGATACGCCATTGGCGGTTCAGTATCCTTCTCTCTACAGTATTGTTCAACGAAGAGATGCGACCGTTCAGACGGTGTGTCAGTCCACGCCTCTACATGTAAGCTTCAGGAGAGCTTTAGCCGGTAACCGTTGGGAAGCTTGGCTCCATCTTGTGAGAAGACTGATGGAGGTTCAACTTTCTCAGCGCCCAGATCGGTTATGTTGGAAGCTTACGACAAATGGAGTTTTTACGGTTAAATCTATGTACGTGGATATCATTAACTCTAGTTCTATTCCAAAGTCGAAACATGTATGGCAAGTCAAAGTCCCTTTGAGAGTTAAAGTGTTCATGTGGTTTGTGCATAAACAAATCATTTTAACTAAGGACAACTTGATTAAACGCAACTGGAATGGATCTAGTCGGTGTAGCTTTTGTGATACAGATGAAACTATTAAACACCTCTTTCTCGATTGTCCTACGGCAAAAATTTTATGGCAGTCAGTGACAATAGCCTTTAATATTACTCCTCCACAGAATATTAATACGTTATTCGGAACGTGGTTGGATGGGATTGAGCCCCGTACAGCGAGACACATTCGTGTTGGAGTATGTGCGTTATTATGGGCTATATGGAATTGCAGAAATGATTTAGTCTTTAACAGAACATCCAACACTCATTTTTTGCAGGTTATATTCCGAGCCATTGCGTTGATCCGTATGTGGTCATTACTCACTCCGACGGAGGCCAGGGAGCGTTTGGTTACTGGATCTATCCGATGGGAGATGGTTGCACGGGATATCTTCAGCCGGTTTGGATGGCGGTCATGTAATAGGATAGGCAATTAGTTTTCCTATCTTTCTCTTGCCGTCCGGCTGTGGCATTTGTTTTGCTTCTTGAGCGCTCTGTGAGCTGCTTTTTTTGAGAATTTTAGACTTGTGTTGAACCTTTTTGTTTTTTAATAAAGGTGGCCGTATGCATCTTTCCGATGCAGAGGCCGGGGAAGTCCCCCTTTTCCAAAAAAAATAAAATAAATCAGCAAGCTCTAGGTCTTCCCTATAGTTCTGTTTCTGTAAATGATTTTCTTTGGGAAGCTTTTTCTTCCTTGGTCAGGTTATCGGCAAAGCATAAGTCCTTGATGAGATAACTAATTATGTCCAAGCTTTGGAACATCAAATTGAGGTATGCTAAGTCACGATTCTCACTTCTGTGGAATTGTGTTACCCTCTATAGTTCAGTTAATAATACTCCCTCCAAAGAATGCTCTTATATTATGGAGTGGAGGGAGTAGTTTTTTTCCTAGCTTTTGGAGCTGTAATTGCTGGTGGAGACATCAGACATACATTTAGGGAGACCGCTGTGCGCAGTGCTTTTTTGTTTTGGCCTTCGGATTAAGGACGGTTCCTCGTGTATTCACGACTTTCATGTATCCCATGGATTTCTGTAGCCGATAATCATTCGTAAGATGAACGCGGAACTGATTTTTTTTCATGAAACCTGTCAGGATGTGAAAGCTTAAAAACATTTTCTTTTTTGAGTTTTTTTGTTTAGTTTCCAAAGCTTGAACTTCTCACAGGCTTCTCTTCATGAATACTGCGGATTTATGCATGTTCCCTGAGTAGCAGAGCAGTTGGTTTATCGGGTTACCCTGTATGTTTGGTGTCGCCTGAGATCGGATGGACTTGGATCTTTGGGACGGTTCTCGTCTTTCCAAAGTTGGTTCTACAACGCCAAGAAGATGCTCTGATAAAAAGCTTCTTCCCACCGAAAAAGGTTCAGTAAAGAACTCTGGTTCTCTTTTATTGGATAGGGTATAAGGCCGAATTTCGCTCGTAGTTCCATCGAAAAAAAAATCCACAAATTTGACCGTCTCAACAAATGTAGTAATTGTGAAACACCCAGAGGGTTCATGCTGGAACAGCTCTTGGTCATTCATCATTTGCACCGCTCCTGAAGCCATGCATATGTCTGCCTGCTCGCTTCTGAGCTGCTTCAGCTTTCCATTCAGCTTCTTCTGCACCCTAAAGTTGAGAAGAAACAAGGTGCTAGTACGATCAATGATACCTTATTCAGGACGAGAAGCAAAGAAGAACCAGTTTTGTACTTTCTCCGTCACATAATATAATTGGGAGATTGAGATCATAAGCAGCCCGTGCACACAAAACCTCAAATAGCACAACACCAAAGGAATATACATGGGATTTCTCTGTGAGTTTGCAAGAGCGGTAAAACTGAGGATCGACGTAATCCTTATATATTGTACGTGTGAGATTATGCGGCACCGAGACTTCACATGGAACCTTCGCAACCAATCTCTCATCCAGGAGAATGTTCGTCGTCGACACATAATTGGGGATGAAGGAACACTCGTGAAGGTAATGCAGGGCATGAGCAGCACCTATGCAAATCTCTAAACGCTGCCTCCAACTAAGAGGTGGCTCCTCGGTGTTGTTAGCGTAAAGGTTCTCACGCAGGGTGCCACGAGCCATGTAATCGTAGATCAGTATCATCTCGTTTTCCTCTTTGCAGTAACCGACCAATGGTACGAGATGATCGTGACGGAGCTTTGCCATCATCGCTATCTCTGTCTGGAAGTCACTTCCATCATAGTCAACACTGCCACGTTTGACAGCCACCTTGGTTGGACCCCCATAAATCACTCCATAGTAAACTCTACGATGTATACCCTGACCAAGAAGGTGTGAGTTATCAAAGTTTCTTGTCGCAGATTTCAACTCCCTAAGTGAGAAATGGCGGCACAAGCTGGGTGGCAAAGATTGTTGCGTGACTGAGCTAGAAGATTGCTGGTTGTTTAGAGCAGCTGGCTTGTTCCTCCACCCCCAAGGAAAAATAGTTGGTGTTTGTTTTCCTTGAACTTGAGTTTTCTTAAGTGCCCGAAGACATTCTGCCACGTCTGTCATCTCAGGGCGTCTATCCATCTCCATCCTCAAACATTGTCCTGCCAGCTCTGCAACCCCTTCAAGAACCTTCATGTTGTTCTGGCTTGAGATTTCAACATCGAACAGATCTCTCACCCTTCTCTTCCCTGTCGCAAGAGCTTGGGTGAAACATTCAACTATGCTGGTCCCCCCATTTCTTGTTGTTGCCTTTTTCTTTGTGATCAATTCAACCAGAACAATTCCGAAACTGTAAACATCACTCTTCTAGGTGAGATGCCCGCTGCGGGCAAACAAAGGGTCCGTGTAACCTATGCTCCCTATTACACGATCAGTGAAAAGGGTCGAGTCTGTGTTCACAAGTCTTGATATTCCAAAGTCGGATACTTTTGCATTGAAGTTGTCATCTAATAGTATATTGGCAGGCTTGATATCACCATGAATGACCTGAGTATACATTTGTGAATGCATGTAACACAGTGCCTCTGAACACTCCACCGCGATCCGCAGTCGTGTATCCAACGTGATGGGAATGCATTCATGATGAAGAACATCGCTGAGATTCCCTTTGGATATGTACTCACTGACAATCATTAGGGCATTTTCCTCGGCACAGTAGCCTATGAGCCTAACTACATTCTTGTGGTTGATTTCACAGTGGACTTTCAGCTCTTTGGCAAAATTTTCCTCTTCATTACGGATAAATCTCTTGACTGCAACTGTTCTTCCATCTTGGAGAACACCTTTGCAAACTTCTTCGAAGCCGCCTTTTCCAATGATAGTTTCATAGTTGCTGGTAATTCTTCTTATCTCATCCTCTGTGAAGGATTTTATGTTATGATTGCTATGTGATAACCACTTTGATCTGTCATCCCTTTGGATCATATCTGGTACCATACTTTCTCGAAGGTCCATCTTATATGAAAGAAAAGTAGCAAAGACTGCGTATACCAGTTAGCCTTGACTAGTACATGCTGGATGCATCAACTTGACCTGAAAAATAGTTGCCAAAAATGTGAAACTCAGATCTCAGATAACCAGAGTTATCAACAACATAGAAGTAATTTGCAGAATCAATGATTGGCAAGTGATTTGTGGTCATATAAGATGTCCACGTACTGACAAAAACATTGACGTGCGTATACAAAATAGTTTTTCATAAAAGATCTCCTCTGGCTGCCGAAGGGTAGGAAGTTGACCAAAGATGGGGTATGAGTCGATTTGAGCCCAACACGTAAATGAAAGAATAAGAGTGCTCGATTTTCGCCAATTTAATCATAGACCATGTTCTCTAGATGATGAAGAATAAATATTGTCTGGTTTAATTATAATAAACCTAGGTGAGTAGGTGTCTAGCGATTAGAGGCGTCGTGTTGTAATCACCAGGCGTCGCCCTTCTTAGGGCTTGTACAAACTCTTCTTTCATCTATGCAGTGAGACACTGTGCCTTTGCGTTTTCCTAGGTTGGTTCTTCAGTAATTTGCACAAAATTGTTTAATTTTGTTGGTGGACTTCATCAATGGAGGGAATTGCACCCACAAGGGAAGGGCGAGACTGTGGGTAGGAGATAGCAAAATTAATCATTATTGTTGAGTTCTGCCGTGGTAGTAACTGGAGCTTCAGGGTAGGCACTGGGTAATTCTGCATCCAGGTGCAAACCAAACGAAAAGCAGTCAAGTGCTTTCTGACAGGGAGAATGGATAACACTAGCAGGACAGGTGGAAACCAATTGATGCATAGAACCAAAGATCTGGAATGTCAAAATGCAAACCTGTGGAAAGCTACCCACTGAAGCAACTACAAAAATTCAGTACGGTTTAAAGATGGTGACGGTTGAGCCCAGCATACCTCTTAGGAATCGATGCGGCAATACAGTTTATGAATCGTCTTTCTCATGGCTGGCAGGCTTGTTGTAGCACACATCGCCATGGATTGGATCTGGAAGGAGGAGCAGAACGAGTCGGCTCTCGTGAAGAGACCTGGTCTGTGAAGGTTGAGGGGCAGAAATGAGTCAGCTATCAATCATCAAAATGGAAAATGAAAACAGCCTTTCACGGGCATTAACTCCATGGTCTGACTCTGGCTGTCCATGTCGTGAACCAATGCTCCAACTTGGAACTTCCAAAACCAGTACCTTTGGAATAATATTTTTTCAAGAATGCCTGGAATTATTCTGACCACGGGTTTTAGATCGTGAATCTAGCTCCAGTGTAGATCCATTTTTGCCATGTCAGTAACGGAGAGATTTGAGGTTGTTCCAACTGAAAATTACCTGGCCGCCATGGGGGATCCTCCCCCTGCGCCTGCAGCGGGCCGTCTCCTCTCACCCGCCGTGCCCAGATGCTCACAGCCACGCCCGCCGTGGAAACCAGCGCTTCGCCCCAGCCGCCGGCTGCAGCCGGACCCCGGAGGTCCACCGCGACATCGGACCCGTCCTCCCTCGCCCCCCCTGCTTCATTCGACCGCCGCGGCACGGCAGCCATCTGATGGCCCGCAGATCTTACCGTCGACTTGGAAGGAGCCTGATGTGGGCGCGCTGTAAGCAAACGAGAGAACGGCGGCGGAGATGTAAGTCTGAATTCTGAAGCAACGGCAAGGGCTGGCCGAAGGCAGAGAGGGGAACGCTGGTGAAAATTCCCCAAGGCGCCGCGTATCCAACAGCCAAAAACCTTGTTTTCTTAACGCAGTACAGACGGTGCTCCCTCCCGTCCTTTTTACTCTGCATATTAAAATTGTATCAAGTCAAACTTTGTAAACTTTAACCAAATTTATATTAAAAAAAATCAACATCTACAATACCAAATATATATACTATGAATCTACATTTCATAATGAATCCAATAATGTTAATTTGACATTGTGAATGTTCATACTTTTTTCTATAATTTTGATCAAAGTAGAGATGCTTTAACTTCAGACAAAACTTATATGCAGACTAAAAAGAACCAGAGGGAGTATATACTTGCATATATTCATCCTTACAAACATGCGCACACATATCATAGTTGTATGAGCACCTCTAAAAAACTGAGCCGGTATATCATCCTGAGATTTACAAAGTCATCGTAGGCGTCTTGTAGTCGACCGAAACGCCCCCTCCCACTGAACGCACATCGCCAGAAATTCTGAAATAAATGCGAGCACCAGGCCCTCGTAGTCGACAAGATTTGAACTCATGATGAGCTGGGGATACCACCGTCCTCCTAACCATCCAAGCACAGGTTGGTTCGCCTAAAAATGTCTTTTAGAGGACATCGAAAAGCGTATTTTTCTTTAGACCTTAATAAACAAATGTTTGAATTTTAAGCATGGGTAGATTGGTCTGTAAAACATGATTTCGTGGACCTATGTGATGTGGAAACTAGGATTTTCACTTTGAAGTCACATAGGATGAAGGTTGGAGGATGTCCGCTTAAATTGGCATGCTCCTTCAGTGGCCGAAGTTGTGCCTGATATCTTTCGCAACAAAGGCTTTAAGGTTAGTAATTCATGAAAAAGGCAACATTTCTTCAACGCGGAGGGGGTAGCAGCAAATAATAGTTTCGGCCTATAAAATATAATCCACATTTGAAGAAGAAACTTGGATGGAGATGAAGGTATCATCAGTAATATCAGTTTGGAGATATACTTGAAAGGTTGCAAACCGCCTAACATGATATTTTTTTTATATGCGGATTCATGATTGTTCCTCATATATTTCATTGGTTTCTCCAACCGGCAAGCATTTGTAAGATGATTAGATGAATGTGACATATCATTTGCAGGTCTCTTGCCAAAGCTTTACACTTTCTTTTAGCGTTTTTTGGGACGCTAATCCCCGGCGAACGTTCGCTGGCACACATGGCACTTACGAACACGCGGGGCGGCATTTCTAGTGCTATGGATGGCGACCGTTTTCAGAAAAATCATGACAGTATTTACTCTTCAGTGCAATATCTGTAGTGCCGTTATTTGGATGTGGATCGTGTGTTTCTGGGTGTTCGCAAGATATCATTACCTTTTTTTTTCCCTCATTTTCGACTCAAAGCATAAACTTTTATCCTTCAAGGTTGTGAGATTTGCACATTGTTCCCTCGGCAGCAACAACAATAGCAGCATCAGCACTAGCACTTGGTTTTTAATGGGATCACCCTATCTATGTATGTCACCTTGTGATGATGATTGGGGCATGATGACCCGGTCCGGCCGAAACCCTCCCCAAAACCCCGGCCCGCCCGAAATCCCGCTTTTGCCCACGCGCTTCCGTTACCTCGCCCCACGCGAAATCCCCTTTCTGCCCCCTCACTCCTCCCCCTTTTCCCCGTGAGCCCGTGACCGGCCCGGCCCCCTCCCCTCCCGCCCCTGCCCCTCGCCGCCGATCCGACGCTCCGCCGCCAAAATCTCGCCGGAGATGGCCGCCTCCTCGCCGCCGGAGCAGGATCCTCCGCGCGAGCCCCCGCCGCCCGAGGCGGAGGCCGCCGCGCCGCCGGCGAGGAGGACGCGCCCGCCGCGCGCGTGCAGCCGCCCCCTCGCGCCGTCCGCGCCCTACCCCACGCCCCCGCCGCGGCGGCGGGGCCCGGGCCGCCGGAGGAAGATCGCGGAGGAGGAGCCCGAGGAGCCGGAGCCGGACGCGCCGCAATGCCGCGTCGTGACGCCGCTCGTCGCGGAGCCCGCGGACCCCGGCGAGCTGCCGCGGTGGAGGCTGCGGGGCATGTGGGAGCTCGCCTCCGTCCTCAACTTCCTCCAGGTGAGCGCTCCCGATCGCGTTCCGCTGCCTGGGCCTTCTCCTCTAGGGTTTAGGGTTTAGCATTCGGAGTTTGACCCTCGGCGCGGTTGCTCTGCTCCGGCCTCCGGAGCTGCAGGTGTTCCGGCCATTGCTCAACATCGCGGTGGAGTTCACGGCGGAGGAGCTGGAGGACGCCCTCATAGTGCCCAATGGCACATTGGAAGGCTTGCATGTGCCGCTATTAAGGGTGAGCCTGATGTTGGGAAATGTTGCAACAACATCACACATTCTCCTCCATAGAACCAGTGTTCAAATAATAATTGATAAGCTTGTCAAATATTACAGGAGTACATAGCTTCTTAGTGTTTCTTATTTGCATTTTGCAGTCGATTCCTCCTGTAGCTCGAATGTCCATGGCAGACGGAAAATGGGTGACTGTGTTATGTAGAAAATTGAATGACTGGTGGCATCTGGTATGTGATTTGTTCATTGTCAAGAACAATTTTGCAATAGGGGTAGTGCTGCATTTGGTTAATGAGCTAAAAATAAAGGCATGATCTTCAGGTTGCAGAAGGCAATCTACCAATCGTTGCCTCACATGGGTGAGTTCTGTGCCCAAGCAATTCCTCACCTGAATCCCTTGCTACAATTGAATATTGGATGACTTATTGTTTTCCGTTTCTCAGAGCGGAAATTGAAACGTACAAGGAACTTGAGCCAGCGACTCGATTAATGATCCTGAAAGCAATATGTGACATACGTTGTGAGGTGTGTGCCCCTAATTTTCGTGTGGAACATTTGCAGTGATAGTGGTGAGCCTCACAGTGTTATGTTATCATATGAAACAAAACCCACATTCTAGGTTGTTTATCTAGCAGCTAATGGTAACATATGAATGTTGGTGCTTCGTCTGCATTTAATCTATGAAAGGTTACTTGTAGTCGGCCTCCTGCTAAATAGTCAGTAATATCTGTGGTCAATTACATAGGAATGTTCGTGTATGTTATTAAAAGCTGCCTGATGTACTCGCAAAAGTCAGATTTAATAATGCATATGTTTGCAGCCTAGTGATAGGTCTGGGCATGCGACTTACAGTTATCTAAACATATGATCAGTGATTTGAGTATTGCTCTGCAATCTACATGTGCACCTGCTTGATGTATTCATTACTCAATTGCATATCGAGTCTGCTAATCTGCATAAGCGATTAGTGATTCTCTGAATGTTCACTAACCGCTGTTTAGAACAGTGGCATGAATTACCTGCTGTTTTACACATCTCTTTCTGGACATATTTCATCTCCACATGTTAAACTGTGAGTGGTAATGGATTTAATGACATATTTTTGATGTAATCCTGTGTGGATGAAATATGTGGTTCCTAGCAAGGCCCAGGAAGTGTTTTGTTGTATCTCCCATGTGTGTACAACACCTCTGTGAGCATGTAAATGCTCCCAATATCTTCATGTTTGTAATTGTTAAGAGATGTCTACAACTAGCTGCAAATGTCTGTCATCGTTAAGTTTTCTGGTCATGAGTGCTTCAAGATTGATAAATAATTGTTGACATATTAACTGATAGGATACAGTTATTTTGCAGCAAGAGGATGTTCGGATCTTCGTAGATAGTTGTCTAAAAAAGGGTTATCAGCTCCGTGATTTCTGCAAAGAACGAATTGGGGGAGATTCCCATGGAATCTCATACTGGTGGGCAAAAGACAACTTTTAATTCTGAAATGAATCTTAAGCACCTTGTTGTGACCAAGGTCAATTCTAATCAACCAATGCACTATAGGTATGATGAAGATCCGATTCTCGGGCATCGATTATATCGTGAAATTAGACAAGTGGAGTATGTGAAGGAGCAAACAAGAAAATCTAAACGAAAGGGGTTCTTAGGTGTTCCAGTTGTATCCTATCAGTGGGAGACTGTCGCGACAAACTTTGTTGAATTTGAAGCAGCAGCAGTAAGTTTAAACTTTCGAGTTAATCATATGCATTTTTTAGGTCCTCTGTTACTGAATGGAGTCCTGGAATTGTTCCTCTGAATGGAGTTGAATCAGACACACTTACACGCACACAGTAGCACCCACAAGGCAAATGCGCTTTCTGTGAGCATCATTTGACATCTTCTGTTGCTACTGATGCATGGTGCTGGCATGATTTTCTCTGAAAAGCATATTGAGCATGCATGGAAACAGGATTAATTAATTGGTCAATCTCTGTGCTTGTGTATCATTAGTAGCTTGGTGGCAACTATTCACACTTGGGCTTGCTTTTCTTAGATATTGCTGGTTTTGATTCTTGTGTGACATATGTTCGCGACAAGATTAAATTAAAGGCAGATGTGATCAAGGGCCTTCCAGAACCAATTTAGATAACATCAACATGTACTCCAGTATTTAACTATTTGTTGGTGCATGTTGTGCAACATAACTGAGAGGGAGGGAGGATACGAGCATGTGCAAAAGTGTGCTCTGTCAGGTGTCCACCTTACAATGCCCTATGTAATATTCCGACATCTGCAACCATCTAATGCTGTGGGCAGAGATAACCAAGGTCCCCAAGTACATCAAAGGTTACTGACTTTAGTGAGAGACGCACTGGAAGAGCTTACCCAAATAAAAATGCGAACTTTTGGCATCAAATGGCATAAAATATTCTTGTGAAGTAGTTTTAGATCTCTTACTCTTACGAAAATTCTATGGAAGTTCACTGATATTAGTTATTTTCTTTCAATCTTATATGTAGGAAAAACTCTTTTCAAGTAGTAACAGGACAGAGGTCTCACTTGGAAAGAAGTTGAAGCTCAATTATCTCCCAGAGATGGAAAAGACTCACAAGGTATTCAACTGCTCCTCTAAAGGAGTTCAAATTATCTGCCTAGAGTACAATAACTGCCTATTTAACATGTGAGAAATCCTCTTGCAGAAGAAGGAGAAGCTGCTAAAAAAGCAACAAAGAGAAGCCCTTCTCCTTAATAGCTACTTGACATTTGATAGATTCACCTCTGGCCGCTCCCATCGTGAAAGAAAGCGTGTCACCTATACTTTCGGTAAGCTTAAGACTAAAGTTGACACTGCTATTAATTAGTTGTCCTAATATGGTAGCATTTCCTCCATTACGTGTTTACCGGCTGTTATAGTTTCTTGTTCATTTAGCCAACCCTTCACATTAGATGTTTCATTGGCATTTCATGCTTTAGCATCACCGTAATGATCGAGAAGATGGAAGGGCTGCACAGCTTTCTTTGGTAGAGAAGAGATCAGGGATGAGAATGACCTTCTTTTGTTTATTGATTCTTGCCTATCTTCAAATGGCATGTGGCAGTACATTGGATGGGTAGAGTACCTTAACAACCATAAACTAATCGTAGCCTATCAAACAGAAACTAATTGCTAACTTCCTAGCAATAGGATTCTTATCTTTATTTTGGTTGAGCGCGGCCTGAATTAGGGCTAGCTTCTATAAAGGCTTTCATCCACACCTTCATATGAGAAATACTGTGCACATAAGTGTCATGTCAATAATGTCTGAACCTGCTAAGCTTAGTTACATAGTTGCAAATCTGTTGTCTCGCTAGTTTATTATGCGCAGAAGAATAGTTAAGTTGGGATGCACTTTCTGTAGCTGATTAGCTGTTCTTACTGATATGCTTTAAGAAAGGCATCTGTAATGTCTCAGCACTTATGAATAATAAATGTCAGCAAGCTATTCCCAGTAACTTGTATAAACCCCTCTACTGAAGTTATGATACCAGTATACCACTGCAATTGTACATAAAAATCTTTTAGACTAAATAATATTTCCATGCCATTTTTTGCATTGGATAGTTCATAGTTCCCATTGGAACAAGATCAAAGGTATATACAGATTTACTGTTCTCCTAACGAGAAACTCTTTCCTTACCATGCAGATGATTATGACCGTTCAATAAATGAGGCCCTAAAAGCAATAAAGTAGGTGAATCATCTACGCTCCATAGTTCCATTAAAGGATTTTTTATAAACAACGAAACTCATGACACAAGTTTCTGTACTCTTATATTGACAGGAAAAGTGAGAACCCTGTTCATGTGGTTGCCACTACCAACAGAGGAGTACTTGTCCCAACACGAGAGGCATCAAGTAATGGTACGTTAGCTGGACCCTCACCTGTATGTAATGGACGGCGTGGAGAATCTCCACTGAAGTCATATAGCTACCAAGGGAGTGGTGGTGAGGAAAAGGCCGAGACCCTTGATCGTAGGTAACTCCTTTAACTCTTGATGTTGAGCTGATCCTTTGCCAAAGCTTATATCAGCATATAAACATGCATTGTTCAAATTATAGGTCTCGTCAAAGAAAAAGATCTCAAAGATACACAACAGACTTTGTTGAGAATGTCTCGGACATCGACACGAACTTTGACAGTGATGGCGATATCATGGGTGAAGCTGTCTATGACGAGGAGTATCTTAGAAGTCGAAAACAACCCAAGGCAAGTACTTCAGAGTACGATGGAGAGTTTCGATCAGAAGACCAAGCGGAGTATTCTTTGAGCAGTGAAGATGAAGAGGGGATTCAACGGTCCAAAAGGTTGCCAAGCCGCAGCCCTCAAGGGACCAGGCTGAAATCCATGGATGTAATCCAAACAGGCATCAAGCGAAATAAGCGTTCTGCCCGGCCCCATATGAACCATCAGCGATGCTCTGGTAAAGATTCCGGATTGGGAAAGCCAGGTGAATTGAACACATCTGATCCAGATGCCGGCTCTGGTGCACTAGACAGTGCAAATACCTCAATAAAAAGTCAAGAGCAGCGCCTGCTTCACATAGTGAAGATGCACGCTCCTGGCAGGGAAGAGAGCAAAGTTGGTGGGAGAAGATTCCTCCATCTTAATTTGATTGCACCTGCTGGTGGTTTTGACGGTGCGCCAGTGCGATCTTGACAGCAGAAGACGACCACGGCGCACAAATAACAGTCAATAAACATGTTCTACAGCACATTCAGGTGCCCAGAGCTTTTTCTTCTGGTGGAATTGCAGACAAAATCAGGGATGGAGGAGCGTCCATGAGCTGGTGATGCGTCCCTCAACCGCGCCATCAAGCGGAGTACTGCTGGAAGACAGGAGCTGATGAGGAGATGGTCCCTGTGTGCAGCGGCTGGATTTCTCGAACCTTTCTGTATGATACTCGGACGCCGCCGGTGGCGTCCATTGATGCGCCGGTCCGGTCCATTTTTCTGTCTGGCAGCGTGTGTGGCTCCCCTCCACGATGTAGTCATGTACTTCTTCTGTAAACTAATATAAGAGCGTTTAGATTACTAAAGTAGTGTTCTAAACGCTCTTATATTAGTTTACGGAGGGAGTACTCTTTTATTTGGAGATCATGTACTCTAGTCTTATAGGAGCGGCATTGTGTATGTCGCTTTTAGGTGAGGAGGCGGCCTACACTGCTTTGCTGTCATGTGGTGCATGCGGCAATTCTTCTTTTGAACTGCTGGCGCCGCCTGGAAGCTGGAAACTTCTTTTTTTGAGGGATGGAAGCTGGAAACTTGTTCGTAGTAACTGAAAATTGCTTCGGTACGTCCCGTCCTGCGTGAAATGTGCATCCGTGGCCCGTCGTACTTTGTTTCCAAAAAATGGTGTGGTTTTCAATTGCTACCAAGCTCGGTGTCGCTGGCACGTGAGAATAATTTACTAATGTCACATCTAAGCTCATGTCCACTCTGCTTGTGGTCTATTTTTTTGCTTTATTTTTTTCTTGTTGCTGCATTATATATTTCTAGGAGCTTAGATGTGACATTCTTAAAAAACATCTAGATATGAATTAGACAAACTGATAATTTAATGTGGTGGAGCATACCGAGGCCAGTGAAAAGTACAGCGCAATCGCGCCAGCATTACTATCGCGTGGCACATGAGTTACATGTATTCTTTTCTGACTTTGAGATCGATCATATTTCCAAACATGCATTTCAATTTGTTGTGTGCGGCTTGTGCAGATTCTTCCATGACCGTAAATTAAAAGGTGACCGATTGCTGTAAAAATTGCTACTCCCCACCAAATCAAAGTGAGGCTGTAAAGAAAGAGTAGAGACAGCAGACCTATTTGGCTATTCCCTTCCTTCCGCCGCGTACTTGTTCTTGGAGCACACCGCCAGGGCATCCATTCTGAGTTTCGTCGGTGAACTCATGGAGTCTCCTCCCCACTACCTGCCGCTCAGAAGGCCGGTGGCGTGGAGGGATCCCGGTGCCTCTGTTTTGGCTAGTAGTGTAGGTTAGCATTTTTTTTTCCTTTCACGGGGGTGGCATTCAGCAAATTGGTCTTTCGGGCTTCTATTCATCTTGAGTTCGTCCATCACGACGGAGCGCACACCACGACAGAAGGCCGGTGGCGGGGAGGGATCCCGGTGCCTCTGTTTTGGCTAGTAGTGTAGGTTAGCATTTTTTTTCTCTCGCGGGGGTGGCATTCAGACAAATTGGTCTTTCGGGCTTTTATTCACCTTGAGTTCGCCCATCACGACGGAGCGCACACGTAGATTCCTGACGTATTTTTGGAGCGGTGAGGTTAGGGTTTCTCGTTTTGTGTGCACGATGATGATATTTGGTGTTAGGCGCTTCAAATCGATTCAAGGGTTCAATGACGACGATTGCTACTATGGGGCGTCGGTCCTTAGGGGATGTGCACGAAGACTTTCGAGCTGTCATCGATAAGGTTAAGCCGTAACTTGCAGGTGCAAACGACAATTTAAGACATAGTCCATTGTTCACTTGTGGACGAACCTGCTTTGAGAACCCACACCGGGTGAGGGCGATAATGTTTTCGTGGAGCGACTCAGTATGTTTTCTCACTTGTAATTGACTACTCCCTCCGTAAACTACTTGCTCCGTCGGTGTTTGTTAGGCCCATTTTTATTTTGAGTCAAAGTCTGATCATGAATTTAACTAAAAGATATAAACTATATGTCACAAAAAGTACACCTTAGAAAACCTCTTGCAAGTACAAATCGAACAATATACTTTGGGTAGCATATAACATCCTAACGGGTTTGACGATCCGTTTACGAGGAGTGAGATGAAAGCAAGAGAGAAGCTCAAGAGCTGACGCGTTGGCTCTTCGGCCGGCGAGAGGGCGTTGGCAAGGCCTCCCATCCCAGCCGCCTTGGCCGTGAATTTCCAGTCCTCAGAAAAATGATACTCCCTCCTTCTGTCTATATAGGGCCTAATGCGTTTTTTAAGACCGTCTTTGACTGCTAATAAGGTTAATAGTACATGAGATGTATAATGTGAAAATTATATCATTAGAAGCTTTTTCACGTACAAATTTGGCGGTATGTTTTGTGTAAATTGCATGTCATATATTATTGCTCTAACATTTGGTTAAAGTTAGTCTTGAAAAACGCATTAGACCCCATATAGATGGAAGGAGGGAGTAAGAACGAAGGACAAGAGCACTGCTACATGCACGACATGTACCACACGAAATACAGACGACACACCATATCCACCGTTCAAGCACAAGGCTAAACATCACCAGCCTGTTAGATTAGCCATCGTCTAAGTGTCGTCCAGCAAAGTGTCGTGTGTGAAGTGTTTTCGGAAGGACAATAGGACACTAAGAAGACTCCTGGTCTGCCAATCATCCTCTGTCCTCCCTCCTGGGCTCCTGGCTCCCTCCTAGTTAAACCGCCTCTCTTCTCTTCTCTTCTCTTCTCTTCCGGTCCACCTCCTCTGCAACTGCGACTGCAAGCTCCGTCGCTGGCATGGCGTCCACGGCTCCTCCGCGGGAGGACCTCATCACGGAGGACGAGGAGCAGCGGCCGCCCCTCACGCGGCCCCTCCTCCGCCGCAGCGCCACCAACAACATCTCCCAGGTGGCCATGGTCGGCTCCAAGGCCTGCCCCATCGAGAGCCTCGACTACGAGTAAGCAACGCAGCCTCCTCATGTGTTCACCCTCTCTCTTTCCCCCCTCTTTACTGGACCGGAGCGCCTCTTCGCGCTTCCATGCCGGGATTCTCCATTGATCCAGCCAGCTAGCTGCCTCCTGAGCTCGTGGCCTGTCATCCCGACTCTCATCCCTTTTGTTGATTGATTCAATTGCGCGGCTCCTCTTCATGAACCGGCCCAGCATCTAGTACCTTGGATCTCCTTGGTCGAATGAGTCCAATCGTCCTCTCAACAACCTCTCTTGTTTTGTTCCTCCAGTTGCCATGCTCATTAGATTTGTCATGTGATGCTTTCTGTCCTCTGCTTCCTCTTGTCTTATCATCAAGAATCTAGCGCGCCTCTCTCTCCTTTTGTTTTCTTCCGTTGGGGTTGGGCTGTCGTGTGTTCATGTTCCATACTCTTTGCCCCACCTGGCATTTTCATCTAGAGTTCTAGACTAGTACCTGCCAAGCTTGTTGCTGAATGTAACCTGCGCTGCAGGATCATCGAGAACGACCTGTTCGACCAGAACTGGCGGACGAGGGCCAAGGCGGACCAGGTGTGGTACGTGGTGCTCAAGTGGACCTTCTGCTTCGCCATCGGCATCATCACCGGCGTCGTCGGCTTCCTCATCAACCTCGCCGTCGAGAACGTCGCCGGCTTCAAGCACGCCGCCGTCTCCTCCCTCATGGACTCCACCAGGTCTGTTCCCTTTGTTTTTTCTTCGCCGAGCATGCACCAAGACAAATGTTCTTCTGTATCTATGCTTGTCTCCACTGTGAGCAATATTCCATTCAGGCTCACCATGTGTCTGACTGACCGACTGACTGTCCGAGATCGGCTCTGCTCCGCAGCTACTGGACGGCCTTCTGGGTGTTCGCCGGCGCGAACCTGGCGCTGCTGCTGCTGGCGTCGGCGATCACGGCGTCGGTGTCGCCGGCGGCCGGCGGGTCGGGGATCCCGGAGGTGAAGGCGTACCTCAACGGCGTGGACGCGCCCAACATCTTCTCGCTCAAGACCCTCGCTGTCAAGGTGAGACCACATCCTCATCCACCTCAGCATATCACACGCCTCTTCAATTCGTCCAGGGCCGAGCACATGATCCGTCCACCCACCCACGTCCCTCGGTTACTTCTTCTCCAATGATCCATCCATCCATCTGCATCCACCCATACACGTCTGCCACTTGTGCACGTACTCCTGCCTACTAGACCGGGTTTATCCAAAAATAAATAAAAGGAGACGCCATCGATTCCAAATCCTGCACGATCGGAGGAATGATTGATTGTGCAGGTTCCCACCATTGTTTATGATCCATGTGAGCGAAAATAATTTCTACTGCTGCTGCGCCTTCCTTGTAGTCAAAGGACATCATGAATTAGTAGCATTATATATTCTTTAATTTTTGTTTGTTTGGATCTGGTCATCCGTTTACTCAACACCGACGCGGCTTGTCTTATTGGGTGGGGAGGGTATAGGAAATATAGAATGGATCAATCATTTGAGCTGGAATCGTCAGATATCCATCTCACTGAAAGTGACAGGGAAGAGAAGAGGACATGGTTTGCTTGGTTTGGGGTCAGCCGTCCCTCCTCCCGACCATCTAATGGGACGTTCCCGTACAAATCTTAGGATGATTAGAGGTCTATAGTCGGATCTAGCAAATCCGGCCCCTAAAAATTCGTCACGCGTCGATAAACAGTGATAGGCCATCCCTCAAATGTCCACGTCCACGACCAAATACTACATTAACAAATCTTTAAACCATATAAAGTATTAACCTAAAAAGTAATAAAGTCATGTACTTCATCTAAGATCACACATATAGCATACAGCTAATTCATTATACATGTCATCGGACTATAAAAATTTGGCATGTTCTGAATATTAGAGCTATGAAAAAAGTTCACGCACGACTTCCCTTGTCCTTGCCGTCTTTTTCACGGTAGATGACGCAAAATGGATCCAGTCAGATATGCTCATTGTCAGAGCTGTCAGAT